TAACCAGAGGGCCATGCTGGAAGGAAAGGATGCATGTCTAAAGGAATGAATAAGTAGGGGACTGAAAAGTGAGTATAAGACAATGAATCAGCTCCAATGGGTTATGGCTCTTCTCTAAGAATATTTAACTAATTGGACTCATGTAATTTGTGGCTGTGACATTTATGTCTAAACTTAGCTCAAAGCATGGCTTTGTCCACCTTGTGTCCCAATTCTGGTAACCAGGCTTCTATTGCAAGCCAAAACTCTAGTGTCCACTTTTACTTAATTCAGATTTAAAAATAGGTCTGCATTGTTCCATTTGTCAGTATCAAACACATTGGTTTTCATGGTAACTCAGTCTATTTAGAACTTTCTTGGCTTTTGCTCTCATGGAATGGAATTCTGACTCTGAGTAATGAATAATTAAATGTAAATGCTTCTGCTAAAGTAGTTTCACTGGCTAGATGCCAAATAATAATAAAGTATTAAGTATCATGCATACCAGTAGTGAATTCAAGTTCAAAGTAATGGCTTGATCCTTTCGGGAAAAAAAATAATTTTACTGCGCTCTAGGAATGATGATCACTTAGAAACCAAATAATATTCGACTAAACTACGCCAACTTATTTCAAGGAGGGAAAAAAGAAAAATTCTTTACTTATCACCATTGTATCCAGGATACAAGTAAATGTTATTATAATGATAAGGAAATGATTAACAAATTCAATCAGAACTCCTAAAAAACAACAATAAAATGAAAGATTAGAAAGATTTGCAAATATTAAAGAAATCAATAGGCCGGGTGTGGTGGCTCATGCCTGTAATCCCAGCACTTTGGGAGCCCGAGGTGGGAGGATCATGAGGTCAGGAGTTCAAGACCAGACTGGCCAAGATAGTGAAACCCCATCTCTACTAAAAAATACAAAAATTAGCTGGTGCCTGTAATCCCAGCTACTTGGGAGGCTGGGGTAGGAGAATTGCTTGAACTGGGACCTGGGAGGCGGAGGTTGCGGTGAGCTGAGATCATGCCACTGTACTCCAGCCTGGGCTACAGAGTGAGACTCCATCTCAAAAGAAAAGAAAGAAAGAAAATCAATGAATTGCAGGATAACATACCAACACAAGCTGATATTAGAAGGACCCCTTCCTCCCAATACAAACACATAGATCAAATATAATAATGGAAGATTTGGATGTAATGTCAAGCTTGAAATTGACAGGAAAATCTCCAAACTAAATTCCCTGCATACAACCAGGAGTTGTAGGGGCTGACCATCCCTTGAAACAGAAGAGGCTCAGCCACCGACCCTGCCTAGCAAAATGCAAAGGAGTTTGCCCTATCTAAACTCTTGGGCAGAAAAGAAGTCACCCACAGGAAGCCAGCACCTCTACCTGTGGAGCCCATGTTCATTTTGTCTACTTGGCTAGAATGATCCTAAACAGAGATGTTTGCATTGTAACTGGTCCAGGTATGGCGAAATCCATCAGTGTAAGCAGAGGCAAATGTGGAACTACCTTGTGGTTCAGATTCCACATCCTGAGTATGTAGTAAGAACACCCAAATCAAGTCCCTGCTGGAGAAGAATTTACAGCTGGAGATTATAATCTGTTTCAGGAAATGAATGAATCACTGTAAGAAAGTATTAGCCAGACACAACAAATAGAAGAATTTGTAAACCAGGGAAGAGAAAAAAGGATATAATCTAGTTGTGAAGATACTTTGAAATAAATATTCGTAAGGAAGGAAGGAATACCATGACAATGAAAGAAAAAGACCATATTTTAAATAAGAGAAGGCAGATTTGTAAAGGAGCCAAACAGAATCCTCCTGCAAATAAAACATATACTCGTGAGAAAAAAATAGTACTTAAATGGATAGAGTTCAAATCTCTTTTCTTTCATCAGTTTATCTAAAGCTCTGATGGTCTTTTGCTGCTTAAATCTGGAGATTAACTCTTAACATACATGGTTTTTTAAACATGAAAGATTAATTTCCCCTGCCACCCTGGAATTGCACATAGAAGACTGGATATGCTTTACAACTTATTTCTGGAAATCGATTGCAAACTCTAGTTTTGAGCTCCGAATGCCACACTAAATTTCTAGCATACTTAGCATGAGTTTTCATTGATTTCTAATAAATTAACATAAAAATACACACAAGAACATTTCTTGGAAATCTCCCAAAAGGACGCTCTTTTTCAAACATTCTAGTTATAATAAAGTAACAGGTAATTAGTTAACCAAATCATTATTTTAACTATGTAGTGACTGACACATATTCTAAAACAAAATTGTAAAGATAGCAATTTACATTTATAATTAAAGCTATTATTTCTGGTACTTATAAAATATGGATATTCTAGTAATGCTAATGTAACTGATAATATCACTGTTACACAAATGAAAATTATCTTATTTTTAAAATAGTTTCACAATTTAAATACCTTAAAATGCCAAGTTAATAATTCTTCTCCTACCATGGAAACATACAAAGAATAAATTATATAATGGTGGAAATTCATGTTTTCTTTCCAAATAAACTTGTATTTGGTATATTTGACATTATAGTTCTTTCCTTAAATTCTATAGAGAATAAATGCAAAATAGTAGTAAATGTTCCACAGGAATGAGTCTTCCAATAAGTCACTGTTACTTCTTAAGTACCTCTTGTGATTAATATCCAAATCAAGAAGCCATTTAACAATGAATATACATACTATACATATGCAAGAACTGCTAGGTCATACAAACTTTTATTAACTGGGGAGACTAATCTTTTAAAAGAGAATAAAGGGCAAAATAACAAAAATATGTTAAATGGAAAAAATAATATCAGTGTCTTTATAAAAAGCAACCTATTCAGTGGCATAAATTTACGTTTTGAAGGCTCTGGGGGGAAATGTGGGAGATGGGTTCATTTCCAAATATAATTTGGCAATGTACCTTAAAATTTTCTCTAATTTAAAAAACAAATTGGCACTGAAGAAGATGATTAGGTAAAAAGAACATCAATAAATACAAAGAACAGTTGTATTTATTCCCTTTTTTTTTTTTTTTTTTTTCTGAGACGGAGTTTCATTCTGTCACCCAGGCTGGAATGCAATGGCACAATCTCAGCTCACTGCAACCTCCGCCTCCTGGATTCAAGTGATTCTCCTGCCTCAGCCTTCCGAGTAGCTGAGATTACAGGCATGTGCCACCATGCCCAGCTAATTTTTATATTTTTAGTAGAGATGGAGTTTCACCATGTTGGCCAGGCTGGTCTTGAACTCCTGGCCTCAAGTGATCCACCCACCTTGGCCTCCCAAAGTGCTCCAAATGCTGGGATTGCAGGCATGAGCCACTGTGCCTGGCCAAGTTGTATTTATTCTAAGGCTTTTTTTTTTTTCTTTTCAAAGATAAAATGGATTAAGGGAAGGTAATGTACTTTGCAAAATGCTGACTGGATAGCTTTATATGGCACCAATTACATAGCAATATTTAAATCAAACTCTGATTTAAAAAAACAAACCTGGCCGGGCCTGGTGGTTCATGCCTGTAATCCAAACAGTTTGGAGGCCAAGGTGGGCAGATCACCTAAGGTCGTGAGTTCAAGACCAGCCTGACCAACTTGGTGAAACCTCCGTCTTTAAAAAAAAAAAACACTAAAATCATCAATTTTCCAATGGTGAACAGTCTTAATAACTTTGCTAATAAAGGCTGAGGTATCATTATCATGCAAATACAACTGTGGCACTAAATTACCAGTTAATTAGAATAAACTTGAAAACTAACTTATCAATGCAAATTAATAAATTAGTTATCTTCATATTTAATATTGAGATGTTATAAAGCCTAATTCTATGAAAGATATTAAAATTTTGCTGTATTCTTATGAACCTGAGAGACTGAATATGTAAATGGACTATGGCCAGAACATATATAAAAATCAAACCTTGACCAACAACCTTTAGCAACCTGTCCAGGGAAGCAACCCCCTTATCTACAATAAACAGCCCAGAACACCAGTCTAAGTCAGAATTGTAGGAAGGCAGGTTACTATCTCTAGTGACAATCCAGGAAGCTAAATAATAACCATCAGTCCCAAACCATTAGGACTTGATTAATAACTGACAGGTTCCCTAATTGTTGTCCCCACTTTCAATTTAGAACCAACTAGAGAAAGCCAAATATGTACCCTAACAAATCACATAGGATGCTCTGCTTCTGGTTCACCTGCATCCAACATCCCCATGCCAACAGCCTCAGAGCAGGGAATCCCAGAAGCTTTTCCACTCTTTTGCCTGCCTTTGAGTGTCTGCCAAAGTACAGGGAAAATGGCTGACTCCCTTGCTATAGCAAGCACAGAATAAATAGCCTTTACTTTTCTTATTTTATTGGTCATCATTTATTTCCACAAATGCATATAAATAGAAGGTATTACTGAAGTTAGTATTTCACAAAAAGCTAACAATCATTTAGCCCTTATCATGAATCACACACTGTATTAAATGTTTTTGTATGAGTTATCTAATTTTATAATAAACATTCTTACTGAAATTGGTATTATTACTATATTCATTTTACAGATGAGGATACCGAGGCTGAGAAATATTGAGTAACTTGTTTAATACTGAGATAAAGGCCAGTGCAATGACTCATATCTTTTGTAATTCCAGGCCTCTGGGAGGCCAAAGTAGGAGGACTGCTTGAGCCCAGGAATTTGAGACCAGTCTCGGCAACACAGCAAGACCCTGTCTCTACAGAAAAATAAATTACATAAATAAATAAAATTATTTTAAAAATACTGGCCTGGCATGGTGGCTCGTATCTGTAATCCCAGCACTTTGGAAGACCAAGGCGAGCAGACCACCTGAGATCTGGAGTTTGAGACCAGCCTGACCAACATGGAGAAACCTAGTCTCTCCTAAAAATACAAAATCAGCCGGGTGTGGTGGCACATACCTATAATTCCAGCTACTCCAGAGGTTGAGGCAGCAGAATTGCTTGAACCTGGGAGGCGGAGGTTGTGGTGAGCTGAGATCATGTCATTGCACTCCAGCCTGGGCAACAAGAGCAAAAATCTGTCTCAACAAACAAACAAACAAAACCAAAAAAACCACTGAGGTTATAAGTGGTAAATCAAGTGTTAAAATCAAGACATTCTAATTCCCAAAAGGATAGTTCTTAACACTACTATAGTAAATTGGACTTCAAATTACTGAGATGACTACATGTTTTAATTGCTTTCAGAAGAAAATAAAAAACACAAAATTAATAATTTGTTATATTTCAAGCTCATGCATGGTCACAAATTAATATATAATAGAAGAGGAAGATAAATTGGAATTCATTTATATCAATCTTATTATTTTATAAATTACATAAGTGACAATGAGAGGAATGAAGTACTTTGACCAATATTATATATCTAGTTAACAGACAACATGAGATTAAAGCCTAGATCTTCTGACTGACAGGCCAGATATCCAGCAGGTTTCACAGGGATACAGAACATTTGCCTGAGGAAATATATAATTCTTCATAAACTTTATGCAATAGTGTAATGCTAGCACATTCCAAACACATATTACATAACATGGCTAAATGCTTATCTTTTACAGAAATAATGAGCTAAATGTTATTTGAGAGACCACTGAAATTCAACAAGTATTTATTGAGTGCTCAATCATATTCGGTATTGTTCCAGATACTTAAGTTTCATCAGTGAACAAAATGAAAAATATCTGATCTTATTTGTTTACATTCTAGTGGGTAGAAACAAACATTATGCAATAGGTACAGGAAGTGGGCAAATTCTATGTTAGACACTGATAAGTGCTATGATAAAAAGAAAGTAGAGCAGAGTGAGCTTGGGAGTGCCACTTTGCAATGAGGGCAGGTCAGTCTCATTGAGTAGGTGAGGAAGTTAGCTATGCATGCAGGAAGGGAAAGTGTCCCAGGCAGAGGGAAGAGCCAATGCAAAATTCTAAGGAGCAAGTTCTCTTCCTTAGAATATTAGAATGAAAGTTGTCGACAAAGTGGTCTGATGCTCTAATTTGTTTTGCCCAATTCAATCAATTGTGCAGAAATTGCATGTGAATTTTATATTAATGATTTGAATCATGAGACTGAGGTCCCTTTAGATTTTCAATTTATTAGGTACTGGTGGGAGTTGGGGAGAAGAAAGTCAAAAGAGAAAGAGGTGGTGCCTGGGCACTGATGTTTTTAAAAGCTCCTTGGGTGATTCTAATATGCAGCCAGGGCTGAGAACCACTATTCTGGTATAGGTGAGAAAGAGAAGGGTGTTGTTTTTTGTGTTTTCATTCCTATTCTTAGTAGTCTGCTCAATATACTCATCAGGCTTGCTGCTCGAGTCATCACTATCTGAAACTCCAAAACCACAAATCCCCTTCACAGAAATCTGGGACCTTCCGCGAACCCCACTGGAAGTGAAACATAGGAGAGGTCGTATTTCTCCTTTATGGCTCCATTTGTGAGTTCCCCGTAACACCAACAAACAAGACTGTATATGGATTTGAGATTACTGAAAACGGTGTTAGAGAGTAAGAATGTAAGATGAACAGAGAGAAGAGGATAGCAACATGGTTGGCATAAAGTGCCTAGCAAAAAGTTTTAAGAACAAGCCTCTCTAATATTCAATTTTAAATTCTGGCACTGTTGTGACAGAAAATATCCTGTCTCCACAAATCTTCAGCAAAGTCTATTTGATTTACGTGTGTTTGGCACATTTTTGGCCCACAGGAAGTGTCTGTTAAATGAAAGAACAAATGAATTCAAGGGAGCTGAATGCAAAAAGCAACAGGCCCCCAACCTTTCCCTTCCCAACCCCTCCAATGTTGTTTCCCAGAGACAACCACATTTATATCATTGCTTTTAGTTACCCTATCTGTAAATAATCTGCTCATGCTGCAAAGTTTTGATGCCTCAATCTTAGTTGTTGCATACTCACGTCCTGCCAAGATAGATAAAGATTGAACTACATTAAACCACCCCAAATTTTCCCTACTCATAACAACTAATAAATTATATCACTAGTCAGAATTTCACTTAATACATTTCCAAGTTTAAATCATATAATTAAACTCACAGTTCTTGCTTCAATATAAACTATATCTCTTCACTTTGCCAGGTAAGAATTTTGTATCCCTTCCCCTTGTCTTCATCTCTGGTTCCTTTATTACACCATCATGTTTCACACTTACAACCTGTTCTGTAACTATAGTTAAGCAATACTTGCTTGCTCTGCCTACAGGTGGACTGTATTTCTGAAAATCAATAAATGATGTTTATGTTACATCTGTGTAAACAGTATTCACTGTCCAGCAAAGTTACCTTCTATGTCTCTACTTGTACAACTTTTTATCATATACCCCACTCAACTAAATTATAAATTGCCTTTTTACTTTGTCTTGGATTGTCTACCTTTATGGCATCATTACACTAGGTTTTTCTAACATTTCCAGAACACTAGCATCCAGAATTTTTTTTTTTCCTTTTTTTCCTACAGGCAGTTCTTTCTTACAGTTCTGAAGTCTTTCAATCTGGATAGGCAGGCTTCCTCTTGCACAAACATCATCCTGGAACTTGTGTTCATTGCATTTATGAATTTGTTCCACTGTTTCACAGACCCAATCCACTCCATTTCCTTCAACAAATCTCTTGTTTTGCTGGCCTATGTTCTCAAGAAACATCCTAAAAAAGAATAGTGAGGCAAAGCTTTCTCAAAAGTTTCATTTTCTTTTTCAGTATGCCCGCATATTTTATCAGTAGTTTATCAGAATTCTGCCCGCATGGTATAGAATTCCAAGTTCAGGAGGGGTGGTGGCTCACACCTGTAATCTCAATATTTTGGGAAGCCAAGGAGGGATGATAGCTTGAACCCAGGAGGTGAAGACCAGGCTGTGCAACTCAGTGAGACCCTGTCTCTATAAAAAGTAAAAAAATTAGCTGGCATGGTGGCTCATGTCTGTAGTCCCAGCCACTCAGAAGGCAGACATGGGAGGATCACTTAGCCCCAGGAGGTCAAGGCTTTAGTAAGCCATGGCTGGGCCACTAAATACCAGCCTGGGCAACAGAGTGAGATCCTGTGTGGACAAAAAAAAAAGGAATTCAAAGTTCAAAATCATTTCTCCTAGGAACTTTCAGGATTCCTTGTATCTTAATACTCACCCAAAAAAGTTTGTTGCCAGCCTGATTCTCATTCCTTTATGGAGGACTTGAACTTTCTCCCTGGAAGCTTTTAGAATCCTCTCTTCATTCTTGCTATCCTTAAATTTCATGATACATCTGTCTATATACATTTTATTCGTTTTTCTGTTCAGTACTTAGTAGGTCTTCTACATTTGCAGAATCATGTCTCCCTTTAGTTCTGAAACTTTTTTCTTAGTAAGCAAGTTTCATCCAACCACTTTCTCTTTTCTCACTTTCTGGAACTTCTACTATTCTGATGTTGAAAATGTAGATTAACTCTTAGGATTTATTTTTTCTTTCTCTGCTGTTCTCTACTTCTCCTCTTTTCTTTAATCTTGTAGTAACGCAAACAGAGCCTACCAACTGACCTTACAGGCTATGAGACAGAGAAATAAATCTTTCATGACTCATGTTTATGCCTTCCATTTAGCTAAAGGGTTTATCCAACATCAGCCCTGCTGGGTTTACTGGGTGAGTGCTACCTATGATTGCGAGCATTCACTCCAACTACAAGTCAAGATTCATTCTCAGTGCTGTGTATGCAACCGTGAACAAGGAAGAAAGTTCCTGACTTCTCGAACTGACTTTGTAGTAGAGGGAGACAGATGATAAAAAAATGAAAATGTTACATGTCCAGTATAATTTTGGAGTCAGCAGCTGCAGCTGCAGCTTTCTGGTTTTACAGGCAGCTTTTTGTTCAAAGACAGACAGCAGCTCCTTTGGTGGCTTGCTCTTACAGTGTGATAGGCATTTTTCTGTGAGTTATACATTTCTTCAGTCCTCCTATGATTCAGCAGAATATATAATACCTGTTGAGAAATTATTTTTATCCTTAAATTAACTACAGTGAATTCCATGAATTCTGTTCTCTGTAACTGAGCCTGTCTGCTACAATAGTCACAAAAATGAACTGTACTTTTCAGCAAGATGCCTCCTTGGTATTTTTCTTTTTGTCCTCTGAGGCCAAACTGCAGGGCCAAAGCTCATTTAAGTTCCCAGCACAGCCCCTGACCTCAATTTTGTATGTACTCAGGGAAGCATTCCTACTATTTGCCATCTAGACAGATAATTTAACTGATGAGAATTCCAAGCTGACAGCTAAACAGAGGTATTCAGTGTACCAAAAAGTATCAATGGGCTTGAGGATTATAAATCTGAAAGGCATATGAGCTTCCCAGAGCTTCAAGTTAATAAAGGAGAAACATCTGAATGTAAACCAGGTTGAGCCTAAAATTTGATATACCCACTTTACTATTTGATCTGAATATACTGCAAGAAAACTCAAAATGAAAATGAAGACATGAAGCAAAAATTTATATATGCTGACACTAGTTATAAACATTCTGAAAGTGTCAGATATTACGTTTACTAGAACCCCGTGAGTCTTATGCTGCCAAATTACGGCCTTTTATGACATGGTCCATTGACATATTTGCCCAGAATTTATGAAATACAACAGTTTACCCTGAATAGTTTACATTAGAATTATTTATTTGCTTTTGGAAAATGCATAAACATACTATCTTAGTCATCTCAGGCTGCCATAACAAAATACCCTAGAGTGGCTTAAACAACAGGAATTTATTTTCTCACAGTTCTGGAGCCTGGAAATCCAAGATCAACGATTGGCTGATTGCCAGTCAATTTGGTTCCTGGTGATTGCTCTGTTCCCAGTTTGTCACTTTCTTGAAGAGAGAGAATAAGTGATCTCTGGTGCTTCTTCATCTTCCTATATGGCACCAACCCTATCAGATTAGGACCCCACCCTTACAGCCTCATTTAACCTTAATTATCTCCTTACAGGCCTTTGAGGCCCCATCTCCAATACAGTAACCACTGGGCGCTAGGG